AAACAGATTTTTAAAAAGAAGAAGAAGAACAACCCCTGTTATGGTAGGGAGGCATGAGCAGGTTCCAGTCTTGACCAGGTGGGAGGTGGAGCATCATCCCATGCACCAGGGAGATTCAGGGAATGTTCTGGAAATTGCAGTTCTGGGGGAGACAGTGTAGGGAGGATTTCTATTGAGAAGGGAAAAGTCCGTGCAAAGACCTGGGAGCAGAAAACGCGTGGTGTAGAGAGAAGACGGATACTGTGATTCTAAACTATGGGACGGGAAGGTGGTGAGATCAGAGCCAAACTGACTTTAAAACCCGTGTCAGGGAACGTGGCCTCTGTTCTGAGAGTAACTCGGTGCCACTGCAGGGTGTTAAACGGGGAGCAGTTTGCATTTTAGATGAGGAAACGCATGTGTGTGTTCCACAGAGTAAGGCTAAGTTTCACAAAACGTTTATTTCAATTTATGTTCACTCTGGCCAAAGTGAACAGCAATGCAACATAAGCAACTTATGAGGTATGCAAAACCGTCTGCTAAAGCATGGAAAGAATGTATTAGACCCACTTTTTCCCAAAATAAAATATGTTAAGTTTTACTAACTAATATGTATTTAATCTATTGCATATTTAATCTGTATAATATGTAATATTAACATTTAAGCGTCATAATATACTTAATCTATTTAATATATAGATTTTGGCATAGAATTATATTTATCTTTGTAAAAAATATTTTTATTGATTTCAGAGTGGAAGGAAGAGGGAAAGAGAGCTAGGAACATCAACCACCTAAGCCACACCAGCTGGGGATATGATTTTATTTATAATTTATAAAAATATATATATTGGGGGGTACATGCTCCCAAATGTTTTTACTGATGGGAATGTGCGGTCAAACATGTTTAGAGACCACAGGGAGAGAGGAGATTGGAAGGGTCCCCGGGCTGGCCTTCCCTCAATTCCTGCAGGCTTCCTCCCAGCTCTGTGAGGAAGGGCTCCAACCAGGGGCCTTCTTTTTAAGGGTTGGGGAAGCCTCAGGGTTTGTTCTGTTAAATATATATATATATATATATATATATATATATATATATATATACTTTTCTTTTTTCAGAGAGGAAGGGAGAGGGAGTGAGAGGTAGAAACATCAATGATGAGAGAGAAACATTGATCAGCTGCCTCCTGCACGCCCCCTCCTGGGGATCAAGCCGGCAACCCGGGCATGTGCCCTTGACCGAATCAAACTGTGAACTCCTGGGTCATAGGCCAATGCTCAACTCCTGAGCCACGCCAGCCAGGCTCCAACCAGGGTTTTGTCACAGCTGAGGAGCCGCTGGCTCAGTGACATAAGGACTAGGTGACAGGACTTCACGGCCAGCATCCCAACTCTGGCCCAACAGAGGGGTTTCCAGGAAATGGAGGAACCTGGCGGTCCAAGCAGAAGTCCTGGCAGGACCCAGGGAGGGAAGCTGGCGGGGCCACTGGGCAAACACCCTCAAGGCAGAGAGAGCCCCCGTTTGGCAGCCGTTCAGTAGCGAGTTTGTGCCAAGGCACAGGAGAAGGCCGCTTCACAAAGGAAGAGCTTGACCTTGAACTGTATTCTTTTCTAAGAGGCACCGCTAACGATTACAGAGGCTGTTGTCATGGTTACTCATGGTTGGCCATTGGCTGTGATAGTGCAGAGCTGTGGCCACCCAGGCTGTCCTGCTGGGAGAGAGTGTTTTCACGCTGAAACTCCTCCCACGCCTTTGATGACCTCTCTCCAGGACAGCACCCCGAGACATGAAAAGACCATTTAATTCTGTGCGCTACGCTGCGCTGTGAGTGCATTGCCAACAGGGGCCTTTGGAAAGACACGTTTCCTTATTTGAAGCCGCTTTGTATTGAGTTTCCACTTGTGTTTCCTCTTCCCTTAGCTTTAGACTGACTGTATGTAAAGCAGGATTTTGCGATCAATTTTTGTTTATTGGTGCGTGCCCCTTTTAAAAACCTTCTCTCTCCGTGCACTATTTCCAGCCCTTTTGAATCTTTTACAATCCTCATCACTCGCCACTAAATAATGAATAGTTGTCAAGTGCACCCTGAAGTTTTTCAAATGGCAGCCTTTTTCAGAAGACAATTTAAGTGACATGTAACCAACGAATAATGCAAAAATTCAGATATTACAGTTTTATACATTTTTATTTTGCTCATAACATAAAGTTGTTAAGCATCACTTCGTTGCTATCCCATGAAAACCCATGACCACTGGTACCAGCTAAACTGTGGGTAGGAGGGTAGCTTCAAGAGAGGGGACCTCACAAAGTCTGTCTGTTACCTGTTTCATTGAAATTCCTTAGATGTTGTGACAGTGGAAGACCAAACAAGCCCTAGTCGGGAGGTTAAGTCAGCAGAACTGCGTTGTGTTGAATTTGGAAGGTACAAAGCCATAGGTGAAGACATACCTGGCAGGTTCCTGCTTGTGCCCTTGATGGTGGGTCCAGTCACTGAGCGAGGAGCGCAGCTTTGGGCAGGAAGAGGACCAGCTTTGAGAAGGAAGGCAAGAAATTCAGTGTTGACCCTGAGGAACTTTGAGACCTCCAGGTAGAAAGGTAAAGGGAGTGAGATCTGGAGTGGAGAAGAGACGCTTGGGCTACAGAGTCACTTGGGGGGTCACTAGCACATAGGTGGTAAGTGACGCTATTGGCAGAAGTGAGATTTACCAAGGAGAGCACAGCATGAGAACAGGGCATACGAGAGAGCATTAAGGAATCCTGATATTTCCTGGCCAGAGGATGGGAGTTTCAAGAAGGAAGATAAAATGTTCTAAATGCTGTTCGGCCATCGGGTACACGAGCACGGAATGATGCGAAGGCACGGGAGACCCTGACATAAATTTACGCGGATGTGATGTGAGTGGGTGGAGCAATGAGAGGTGAGGAAAGAGAAAACATAAGACTATTCACACCCATCAAGAAATTTAGTTACCAAGGAGAGAAGAGCCATGCGGGGGTGTTTGGAGGGTGTGCAAATCGAGACATCGTTTTTTGTTTGATTTTGCTTTGTTTTAAGAGGAAGATGAACAGGTTGAGAAAGGGAGAGGTGGAAGCCACAGAAGAACCAGGAGATCACTGTGAGAGGCCAGAGTGGAGGCCACAGGCCGGGAAGAAAGAATAGCTCCTAATGTACCACAGAGAGAGAGCTGGGCTGGCGTGTCAGGTCATTAGGGGGAGTTGAGAGATTTCTTGAGTGAATGCTTCAAGTTACTCTAAGAAGCTGAGAATAAGAAGGGAGTTGACAGGATCAGAGGTTTGAGGAACAGGAGAGAGTTTCAAAACAGTCACTGAACAGAGGGGATGAGTGAGGAAGCCAGAGAAACCAATCAGGACTTCCAGGCAGTGGAGTCCTTCTGAGATTGGTGATGGTTAATTTATGAATGCCCCTTTCACAGGCCTCGTGGAGAGATTGCCAAAAGTTTATTCAATTATGTTCCTATCTTTCTTGATAGTCACTTTTAAGGAGGACATCACAGCAATTGTTTTCCTCTGCATAGTTTTTATTGTGTGTCTTTTTCTCTCATCACCCTTGAACATCAAGCCCAAGTCCATGAGGAAGAGTTAAGGTGACTGAATCTAATTCTTTTTTTTCTTTAGTTAAAAAAAAAAAAAAAAGTACCAGAGTGGCTGAAAAACTAATCCTTGAAACCTCCAAAAATACTCATCTCAGAATTTGTATTTGAATGCCCACCAGGCACAGAGGCAAAAAGACAGTGTTCTTGAAGGGTGGGCTGGGGGAGGGATTAGCTAAAAGTGCACAGAATTCAATGATTCATAAGAAGTGAAGGAATTAGTAAAATGTGATTAAGTAGAGAGTATGCAAAGCCAAGCTCAGAAAATTAAATAAAACCAAGAATTTGAGTGTCCAAAGCAAAGTAGCTTTGTCACCTTGAAAAAGACTATATGAGACCATCAATGGCCTAGATCAGGGGTGGGCAAACTTTTTGACTCGAGGGCCACAATGGGTTCTTAAACTGGACCGGAGGGCCGGAACAAAAGCATGGATGGAGTGTTTGTGTGAACTAATATAAATTCAAAGTAAACATCATTACATAAAAGGGTATGGTCTTTTTTTTCAATAGTTTTATTCATTTCAAATGGGCCGGATCCGGCCCGCCGGCCGTAGTTTGCCCACGGCTGGCCTAGATGGTAATAAAGACAATGAAATAAATGAGGAAGAAGATGGTGAATGTTGAAAAATGGGAAGAATCTATATACATAAAAGCCCAGCGACCAAACAGCGGAACAATCAAAATGACTGGTCAACCAGTCGCTATGCCATGCACTGACCACCAGGGGGCAGACGCTTAACACAGGAGCTGCCCCGTGGTGGTCAGGGTGCTCCCTCAGTGGGAGCAGCCACTTAGAGGGCAGATCCACAGCCACTTGGCTGACCAGGATGAGTGGCACTCCCACAGCGGGCCATCCCCACAGGCCATGCCCCCCACCAGTGCACGACTCTGTGCACTGGGCCTCTAGTATGAATATAAAGAGGAACAAAGGCAGGATTTACAGAAAATGTTGTAAATATACCAGCATGTACTGTGTCGTGTGGGCTCTCACCATTAGGAAGTTTCTGTTTCCTGGAGCCCTGGGGAGAGAGGCAGCGAGTGACTTTTTTCTAGGTGTTTCCATCCAATCAGTGCATCCGCTGCCATACTGTTGAAGGTCAGGCAAGTCCTAAAATGGGGCCGGTCATTTCTTTCCATCTTGAGCTTCGGTCACTCCCTCTTGTGTTCTCTGTTGGGAGATGACCCTTCTCCTCAGGCGTGCACATCCTTCTCCTTTAGTGTCCGTTCAAGAAAAGTCGAAATGAAAGACCAGTATCTAGGCCAAGAGGTTCCTCACCATCCATCCACTCCGCTGCCCAACCCTGGAACCTGCCTGTGCTCAACTCTGCCATCTCCCTCACCTCCCACCCACCCTCAATCCATCTGCAAGCCCGCTCAGTCCTACCTCTGCAATGTCGTTCAAATCCATTCACTTCTCCCTCAGTCCCCACTGTGTCTACCTCGGACCACCCCTGTTTCTCACACAATCTACAGCTGCCTTCAGAATGGCCTCCCTGCCCCATCTGTCCACTCCCACCCCTCACTCTTCCCTCGTTCGGTTACTGCACGGCCAGAGAGTTCTCCCCAACGCAAATCTGCTCTGCATTAACTGGGAGGGGCTCCCTACACCTGCCCCTGCAGCCACGCATAGCGTCAGATAGACACCTACCCCACACCCGCAGCCAACACTGCGGGCGCATCAGGTATTTAACATTTTTAACTTATTTATGATAACAAAGTGCTACATAAATTATTTGCTTTTTAATCCCAAATAAACCAATAGAGAACAAAGGAAAGGAACATTAGAAAGAAGTGATTAAGGGAGATAATGGCTTTTCAAACTTGACTTCCTGAAACTCAGTTTTGAGTCACACTTTAACCCTATGTTCAGCTTTAAAGACCAAGTAGGCCACTTCAGTCTTCTCAGCGCCCTCCTCTTATATGGCTATACCAGAAGGTTCTGAAGATGACATCACTTGAGCGCTGGGTCAAAATGTCATACAGAGGTATCCTGGTACGTTCATCTCTTCTTGTCTCTTGACGAGAAAGGCCAGGGTTTGGAAATCTCCACTGCAGTCCCCGCCTTAGCTGTGCAGTCCCAGGACCAGCTTCCCTCGGTTGGATACTAGAAAGAACTGGCGACATTTTAAACGTCAGATAACAAAAGGCACACAAATCTTCAGTTGTCCTTGGCTGCCATGCAGCTCAGAGCTAAATGTCGGGCTCGATTAAAACGGCCCTTGGCTTAGACCCTGGCCCAGGAAACCCTGAGTTAGAAGTGTTCAGACCGCGTGCTTGAGCGACTGTAACCTCCGTACTGTGAAGCCATAGAGTGGGCGCGCGAGGAGTATTTCACTCAGGCCGCTCGGTCCCACAGCGAGCCTCAGTTCACTAGTTGCTGCAAGTTCACTAGTTGCTGTCCCATCCGTTTACACGGTCCGCATGCTGGAGAAGACATGCTTTGGGTACTGTGCTTTTTAGCTGCATTTTAAAAATGAACTATCAATTTATTTAACTTAAACGTATGCATGCTTTTTAAACAGTGGTAGTGGTTACCGCCTAACATCTCGGTTGGATGCCATGCTCCCACCTTGTATAAGTGTATTTTCATGCACACAATTCCGTTAGGTTCCAACCGACAAGACGGTCTCATTTCAGGAAAGCAACCCTTCACCAATCTGGAAACTAAACTGTACAATTATCTCCCTCCTTCACCCCATGGTTCTTATGAAACGATCCACATTTTAATCATTCTTTATGTAGCTTTGATTGCAAATTCTTGGGATCTTCTCGAGTGGTCTGGCTTAACAAACGCATGAATTTAAAACAAAATGAACCCTGCATATAGCACATGTCAATTAAGCCAAAGTTTCATCACAGACAAGTTGAAATCTTTCGGTGTTGAAGCTTCTGTGGCTTACTAATCATTTCAACGGTGATTTATTTCTGTACTTCTTAACTACCCTCCTGTTTCCTGTAGGTCTGACGAGGCTCAGTGGTGGAGAGCGACATTAAAGTAATAGAATATAATTTTCTTTTCCTTGAAGGATTATAACCTGTGGGGGTTAAGGAGATAGAACCTGTCTACCTGGGAAGTTGTTGTGTGTTTTTTCCAAAGCAAAACAAGTATTAATTATATGGGTTTGCATTTGGTTCGTCTTGGATTTCGATGAAGAGAAATAAGGAAGGAAATCTCAGTCTAGGCGGAGGAAGAGCATGAACAACGTTTACATGAAGGAAGTCAGGAGTGAGATGTGGTGTTTGTGCCCAGAAGTGGGCTGGGTGGAAAGTTGGGGCGGGGGGGGGGGCGGGCAGAGTTAGAGAGAGAAGGCGGACTCTCCCCACACAACACTGGCTGGAGGGCCGCCCGTGGGGATTGGGCTCTGGGCGTTGATCTCTCTGCTGATTTACACTGAAGAGCCATCGAAAACTCTTGATCAGAGCAGCGAGATCAAGGGAAGGGTGCTTCAGAAAAAGCCCATGGGGGAGCTAAGAGGCTTTGTAACTGTGAGACAGGAATAGGGTAGGAGAGTTTCATCGGCGTCAAGAGCTGTCTGAGCTGCAGGAAACCTCTAGCTTCTACAGAAAACTAAGGCTTAGCACAACAGAGAGGAGGGAAGGGGTGTTACAGGATAGTTCTGTTCAAAGACTGAAGTTTCCAGCCTAGCACTGTGACATGGTAAGGCTTCATAAATACGATAGTTGTTGTCATCATGGTGAGACCATGTTGCACGATGCTTTCATAGAAACAGAGAGCGAGGAAGCTTACATTTGCTCGCGCCAGCTGGTAGCATCAGATTTATTCTTATCTGCCCATAACCCTGATGTGTGGATGTTAACATCTCTATTTAGACCGTTGCAGATATAGACTCAGAATGGCTAAGAAACATGCACACTCCCTCTAAATCCATCTAAAGGACAGCGCCTGGACTTGTAACCAGGTCCGTCTGGTTCCGAAATCCACGCCTTTTCCACCCTGTCTCTGAATTAGGAATCAAAAGACCTGCCAGGAGCGAGGAGAGCAAATGCACAATTGAAAACCTGCTAATGCGACAGAACGTGTCCGTGAAGGGGAGCACAGGGGCCCGGGTCCGAGAGGCAGCACGGGGCGTGGATGGAAACACAGACCCCTGGTTTCCTCTGAAAACACGCGGTGCTGCCGCTCCACTCGGCTGGGGAGCGCTGTCGGTGCGGCAGCAAAATGACACGGGAAACAAGGCCTGGCTCCCTGGGGCCACAGAGGGTCCGGGCTGCGGGGACACCGGCCTGCTCTCTGCTCCGAGAGGCACAGGGGCCGCTCCGCGGTGGTGTGGAGAGAGAAACCACCCCCACCCAGGCTTCTGGAGTCCCTTCTACAGAGCATGCGGTTTCCAGGCATTGAAAGAACTGGAACTTCATTTATTCACTTGTGTTTAAATTTACGTTAAGGAGAGGAATTCGAGAACCGTTGGTGGGGGAAGCTATTCATTCAGAGTCCCACAGTCCTCACTGCCCCCAAGGGGGTCTCCTTGTCAAGGACAGTGAGAAAGCACCAGCCATCGCTGGGGGGTGTGTTTCATACAAATATATTTTCCCTTTGAGTAGGCCTCTCCCAGACTCCCAGGTCCCTCTGCCCCAGTCCCTCCGAGCCAGCAGGCCTGGCCTGTGGCTGTGACAGGAGCCGGGCAGCTCTGAGCCACCCTCCCGGACCTCCCTCCTAGGGCCAGAAGGTTTTTCCTGTGGGCCTGGGGCAGGGGGTGTGGACCGGGACCGAACGTGTTTCCTGGAGTTGTTTGCCTCCCGAGATCCTCTCCATGGCCACCCAGAGGTTCATGCTAACAGCCCACCCTCCCCGGAGGAACCCTGCTGACCCCTTCCCTTCTCACCACACCTCCCACCCCACCAGGAGTCTCCAGCAGGACCAGCCCACCCGCCAGAGGGAGGACACAGGGCCATCCCCGGAGAGGGTCCCTGCTTCAGCCACCCTCGCAGGGTTCAAGCAGCGAGAAGCAGAAGCATGAGATGCTGTTTTAAGGGCATGAAGATTCCGCATTGAAATGCTTTGAAGGCCACGGGAGAGTCCTCTTATCAAAACTCTCCCTCCCGCCCGTGCCACACTCACGTAAGCCACTGCGTGAAGAACTCCTGAGAGCCCGTATCAGAATGGAAACTGCAGATCCCGGAGCCAGCAGGGCCCGGCTCCAGACTCACAAGCAGCGCCCTGAGCATTTAGGGAGGGAGAGCGAGGAGCCCGAGGCTGAGGCGCAGTCTACCCGGCTCTGCCCAGACCACAGGGGGCACCTGACACCCCATGGATAGGCCCTTCCATGTGTTGGGGGCTGGGTTTTTCGTCTTGCCTTAAAGAAACACTGTTTTCTTTACTTCTGATAACACGACTCCATGGGCATTTGGAAACATTTTTTTTTTTTCTGGTAGAACAGTAACTAGAACCCTTTTTTTTTCCAAAAAAGAAAAAAAAAGATTTCCATTTGAAGGAAGTATTAACATTTTCCTGACGTGTTGGCTCCTGAGGGTGGAATTAGCATTCAGATTCAGATTCAGCCCATGGGATGCAGGTCCCCGCTGAATCCTCCTGGGCCATCAGGAGAGCGTTACTGAGCCGAGTCCGAGGGAACAGGGACCGCACATCATGAGCTTAGATCTCATTGTCCTGATACTGACACGAGATGCCATTGCAAGATCTGACACAGAGGAGATATATATGTATATACACATACACACGTATAACATATACTTACATCATTCATGAAGGTGGAGTAATGGAGATGGGGAGACCTGGACAGATTAAGTGCATGTCTTGGAAGCAAAAGAGACCAAATTTGCTATTGGACTAAGCACGGATGGGGGTGAAGAAAAGAGAAATCAAAGATAATTCCTACCTGTGCATTCTTAGCCCCCCCAGCAAATCCACCAACTTCCTGGTGTGAAATGTGGGTGGGGCAGTGAGGGGAGCTCTGACATCAAGCCCTCAGCATCTCTGAGATGAAATCCCGGCAATGCTGGTGGAAACGTCTCCTCTGATAGGAAGGTCAGCAGATACTTGTTCACTTGAGATGCGAGACACATTCCCGACTGTCCACGCTAACCGGGTTGCCCAGCTCATCCACGTGGTCCCGCATTTGACAGGTGAGAGAGGGGAGGGAGCTCACAGTAGCACCAGGATCGGCTGACGTCTGGATAGCTCCAAGCGTTCCATCACTGAACGTGGTTCTCCGGGCTCCCGATTCTACGTCCAGGGTCGTCGTCCCACAATCTGCAAAATATTCGCCCATTTTGGGAACAAACATTTAAAATTTACATACGAAATTATAGAGGGGGAAATAAATAAGATTTCATTTTTCTGGCCCTTTTAAGCTGTCATTTTACAAAAATCAGTTCTGCATGAGTAGGTACTCCATACACATAATACAAGGCTCAAAATACAGAGAGGGGCACACAGTAAAAATCCATCTCCCTCCCACACCTGACCTCCAGCCAGGCCTTTGTCCCCTTCCCTCATGGCAAGCAGTGACACTGCTTCTTGTGTACCCTTTCAGACAAATGTTAACAGCAATCTTTTCTTTCTTAATCGTTTTTTTAAATGACAGTAGACATACAATGGAGAGGGAGGGCTAATTAGTTTAGTCTCAGGTGTACCCCCAGTGATCAGACATTATATAACTTACCAAATGATCATCTGGATAAACCTCGTACCCATCTGACACCAGACACGGCCGTTAGAATGTGATCGGCTCTGTCCCCTATCCTGTACTTGACATCCCATGATTGTTCTGTGACTGCCAATTCCTACTTCTTAATCCCTTCACCTTTTCCACCCATCCCCCAATCTTTTAAAAGTATGTAAAATGCACTCTTGTCACTTTTTTCTTGTGATCAGAAACTCCTCTATGGACACTCTGAACGAATCACACCTATAGTTGCTGTCCTGGTCATTTCTCAGGGAGGCTGAGCAGTGCCAACCCCGAGGATTTGAAAGTTGCTGTGTTCTTTCAATATTTTGTGCCTAGCCTTTCCATTTTTCTCCTAAACTTTCTGTGTCCACAAACAAATGGACATACAGCGTCAAGCATTCACAACATGGCTGCTGAGAATGTACAGCTTTCAATCACCAGCCTTTAGAATAATCAACAGAAAGCCAGGTTTTTTTGTTTTTGTTTTTTTAATTTCTGAGAGACGAAAGTTCATAGCCTTGTCTTTTCAGATAATTCTTCATGGTCTGTGACCTAAAATCAAGAGCCATAAAGAATTCAATTAAAGGCAGAAATCAAGGACCAACCCTGTTGCACCTCTGTCTGAAATGTCGCAAATATTTGAGCACCTGTACAAACACTCCCGGCCCCCGAGCCCAGCTGTTCCAGCTCACGCCCTCTTTCTTTGCTAGGATATTAAAATAATTCCCTTTTGTTATCCCTGCATCATCCAGGCTGAATCCTTCTGGGCGAACAGGAGAGCGTTACTAAGTAAAGTCAGAAGTAGGAACAGGGACCACACAGGAGTCTAGATTTTATTGGACTGATACTGACATCGAGATACCATTGTAAGATTTGACACAGAAGAGAGAGATATGTATATACATATACATACGTATAACATATACTTACATCGCTCATGAAGGTGGACTACGGTAGGAGTAGAGGAGATGGGGAGACCTGGATGGATTAAATGCATGTCTTAGAAGCAAAAGAGACCGAATTTGCTGTTGGAATAAGCATGTGTGGGGGTGAAGGAAAGAGAAATTAAAGATAATTCCTAGATATTTGACCTCTGCTGCTGGATAGATGCAGTTGTATCTTGAATTGGGGTGGGATAGGGGAGGAAACAGAATTTGGGACGGTCGGAAGTTGTGCTTGAGCCACCTGTACCTTAGGGACCTAGTGGACAGACTTACTTCCATGCCACCTCACTGGCTCCTTCTCCCCGTCTTCTCTTTGGGTCTTCCTCGTCTCTCCCATCTCTTCCCACTGGAGGGCCCCAACCTTCCTCCTTAGACTTGTTCTCTGTCCACGCTCACTCCCTTGTTGACTTCCTCCTGTCTCATCGTCTCATCGCTTTAGAGGCTACCTTTATGCTGATGTCTCCCAAGTGCTCATCTCCAGGTCAAAACTCACCCCTGAAGTGCAGGCGCATTGATCCAACTGCCTACTCAGCATCTCTGACACACAACTCAAACTTCCCTCCAAAACTAGGGTTACCAGATAAAATAAAGGGCACCTGGTTAAAGTAGAGTAATAGCAAATAACTTTTTAGTGTAAGTATAAATCATATTACATGGGACCTAATTTTTTAAAAATATTTTTTTATTGATTTCAGAGAGGGTTAGGGTTAGAGAGAGAGAGAGATAGAAACATCAATGATGAGAGAAAATCATTGATCAGATGCCTCCTGCACACCCCCCAATGGGGATTGAGCCCACAGCCTGGGCATGTGCCCTGACTGGGAATCAAACCATGACCTCCTGGTTCATAGGTCTGCTGGAAGCTATCCATTTGTCTACACCAGTGATGGCGAACCTATGGCACGCATGTCAGAGGTGACATGGGAACTCATTTTTTGGTTGATTTTTCTTTGTTAAATGGCATTTAAATATATAAAATAAATATCAAAAATATAAGTCTTTGTTTTACTATGGTTGCAAATATCAAAAAATTTCTGTACGTGACACGGCACCAGAGTTAAGTTAGGGTTTTTCAAAATGCTGACACGCTGAGCTCAAAAGGTTCGCCATCACTGGTCTACACTATCATGAAAGTGCAACAGGGAACTCAGAAGGCTGATGGACCTTGAGCTTTAGCAAGGGCTAAAGCTATACACCTATTGTTCTGTCAGGACAATTTCCTGACCTAATAGTCTCAAAGTAAATCTTTACTAATATTTATTGACTTTTAAGATAGTCTATATGCTACCGGATTGCCTGCCTAACTAACGGCAAGATGTGTATTCTAAAATTGAATAAAAGCTAACAGGGCCTGGGCCCCAGTGAAGCCTTTCCACTAGAGAAGGGTTTTCTGCCTGGCCCTCCATGATTTCTAAATTCATATTTTTTGTCCAGTGTCTTCATTTGTGCTCGGCCCTTTTCCAGATCCTGAACCCTAGCCACGCCAGTTGTGGCATTCACATAGGTTGACGTTCAACTACTGAGTCACGCCAGCTGGGCCACAGTTATTTTTAAAGATGTATGCTCTTAGACTGGTTTGTAGAGTGAGAGGAGTGGTACAGTAGAAATAAAGTGATGAGGCAGGGGATGAAGAAGGATACTGAAAGAAATAGACCATACTTGCTGTCTGGTCTTAATGAGAAAAAACTCCTCATTAGGGAGACTTATTAACCCTAACAAGACAAGAGATGGGACAGAGTGGAGGGGTTGGTTTAAGATATGCGCAAATAGGAAGGAAGCAGAGAGTGTGGCTGAAGGCATAGTACTTCAGTGGCTGTGATGATGGGAAGATGAGGGTGTATCTGATTGCTTCTCTGCAGGTGTATGCGTGTGTGTGTGAATCTCTCTGTTAGGTTATAAACTCTGAAAGAACATTTGCCCTGTAGCCCTGTCCCTGCCCCTCCCCCACTTAGTACTAACACGAAGCAGCACAAGAAGACAAGAGGGTTTCTGTCATTGCATCAATGTACAACTGAAGGGTGCAGTATACCCCAAATATGCCACTTTGGCTAAGGATTATTTTGAGTTAAAGGCACTTAAATAAAGGGCAATTGGCAGAGGGTGCTGGGCCTTCCGTTCCCTTCCGAAGCCAGACGGAGCAGCGGAGGTGGGAAAGGTCCCCCTGCACCAGGAAGAACAGAACACCCCTCTCACCCAGAGGGGAGTCAAGGCCGAGGGTAAGTCTGTACAAACAAATCTTGTTCAACTAGCCCTTCTCTTCCTAGCGACTTCTCGCGACATCTCCATGCTGAGCTGCCCGGGCCAAAGTCCCTTTGTCTCGTCTCATTCTCACAGTTGACTAATTTGGTATCATCTTTGCCCAACGTGGTGTATAATCATTTGGTTCTAACCACTTCTTTAGGTCTTCAGTTTCCTACGGGGCTCCCATGTGCATGTAAAAAAATGTGTGCTCTCCTCTTGTTCACGTCTTATGACAATTAAATTCTCAGGCCCAGCCCCACCAGCATGGCTCAGTAGTTGGGTGTCGACCTATGAACCATGAGGTCATGGTTCAATTCCCAATTAGGGCAAAAACCCAGGTTGCAGGGCTTGCTCCCCAGTGTAGGGTGTGCAGGGGGCAGCTGATCAATGTTTCTCTCTCATCGTTGATGTTTCTATCTCTCTCTCCCTCTCCCTTCCTCTCTGAAATTAATTTAAAAATTTTAAAAAAAGAATACCCGTGTAAGCAGAGTGCACTAGACGAACTGTCCTGCTACTGATAATTGCCTTCCCTGGAATTATGTTCTGCTTCCACTGGAGCAGACCTAAGTGTGTGTGAGTGGGGGGCAATCCTGGGCCTTATGTGAGTCTCCTGATCATGTCCCTCCTCTCAGATGGGGCATGTCCCTGACGCCAGAGCAGAGGCTGGTCTTTCCTGTAGGGAGGCCCTGTCGGTGTGAGGAGAGCTGCCCCGCTGGCTGCTGTGAGGGGCAGGATGTGGGTACCTAACTGGGATACTTTTGCTGGATATTTGCTGTTCCTATAGCTCCCTTTACCCAAAATATACAAGACTCTGACCAATCTGTATCTTCCTGGATGTAGCATTCTGGGCATTTCTTCTACCTCCCTACCACCTTGCATACTTGCTGTCTGGTCTTCCACTTCTCTAGGTGAAGAACACCTGGAAAAGAACGCATTTGTACAGACAGCCGTGGGGGAGGTCCTCCCGGATTAGAGCCATGCAGTTTTGATGTCTGGATAGCAGAAGATGGTTTCCTACTTTTTGACACAGGAAATCAAAGGTAGTAAGCTGACCCTTCATCTTTCCCAGTGGAAAAGCAAGCCCTGTGCAGAGGACTTGGTCATTCGAGAATCTGAGCTCACAGCAGATGCCAGAAAGACATCAGCAAGCCCTGTCTTCCTTTATTCAGGCCCAACTGCCCAATAGACAACAGTATTTTGTGATGGTGACGATCCATTTCATGCCTCTATAGCAGTTTGTATTATGTACTGTTCTTTGAAGAATTAAGCATCATTAAAATTAATTTCTCATGTCCTCTACTCAACCTCAGTTTTACTTCTTGCTTTGGAACCAAAGCATTCAGGGACATGGTCTTGCTTGTTTTCATTGCTTTTCTTTCATGTTTTTAATACTGTAACATTATATACCAATAGAAATGTAATGTCTGTTTTCTCCCAAACATGCTTTCTTCCAGAAGATGAACTAAATACATCAGCTTTTAAATTTAGATAAAGAACGCAATAGCTAAATGCTCCCATGATGGCCTGACAAGTGGACCCCACATCAGAATCATCAGTGTTTCTTAGTAATATATACAAGCACTTGGTCCTCTCAACATCTTCATTCTAAGAAAATGGGCCTACTGAGAAGGGATGACATGTTTAAAGACCAAAGACAGGCCGGCCTCAGTGGCTGAGTGTTGACCTATGAACCAGGAGGTCATGGTTCAATTCCTGGTCAGAGCTCATGCTCAGGTTGTGGGCTCAATCCCACTAGGGGACATGCAAGAGGCAGATCAATGGTTCACTCTCATTGATGTTTCTCTCTCTCTCTCCCTCTCCCTTTCTCTCACAAAAATTAATAAAAACATTTTTTTTTAAAGACCAGAGACAGGACTAGATTAACAAAAGTTTCATGACATTCATTAAAAAAAAATATTTATTAAGGACATATGGTGCGTCTGCACTATTCCAGGCACTGATCACACAGCTGAGAACAGACATAGCTCCACCAAGGAGGTGGAAAGAGAGTCAAATAACCATACGATGGAAAATTAAAGGTAAACGGCAGATAACATTAGAAAATTTTTCCTTTTCCTTGGTGTTCTTTCTTTTCTTTTTGCATACCCATTATAGACTATCTCAAATTTCCACAACTTCAAGATATGTTTGGATCAATGTCACAGCAGCAGGACTAACGATATTAAAATTCTCTGAGAAGGCCAAGGTCAGGTAAACAGCCTTTCATGAGAGGTTCATAGATTATGGTCTCCTCCTAACATAGGTGGAGCTGGATAAGCGTTTGGGTGGGTCAGAGGAACAGGAGGCATTCCAGGGCATAAAGTAGGTATTTGTGGAGTAGCTGTGGGGGGAGCGAGTGAGATGGAACTCTGAGCAGTCCGTTGCAGGCAGAGGGAGGAGGAAGTGCAAAGGCCGGGGGCTGGAGAGTGAGCCACGTGCTCAGGGCACAGCCAGGTGGCCATGTGATTGGAACAGAGTGAGCAAAGGAGAGTGCTAGGAGAACTCAGAGTCTGAAGCCAGAGCAAGTCTTGAAGGCATTGTAAGGACTTTGGATTTTACTATGGGACGGGTCTGTTAGCAGAGGACTCTAGCAACTTTGTAGGAAACAAACAGAAGGGCAAAGGTGGAAACAGGAAGCTGGTGGGGAGGCTATTCCAGCAGTCCTGGCGGAAGTGATTGACGCTGGTCTCGGGGAGGCCAGGAGCAGGAGCAGCAAGCTGCGAGTATATCGAAGGTCAAACCATCAGAATTTGAAGACAAACTTGTCCTGGAGTATAAGAGAACAGAAGCAGTCAAAGGTGACTCCAAGATGCTGGGCAGAAACAACTAAAAGTTGGAAGTGCCTTTTACATGAAGAGGAAGACTGGGAACTGGGAACGAGTAGGTCCATGGCCAGGAAGGAGCGTGAGTCAGGAGCTACATGTTAAGTTTGTTTTGTTTGTTTTTTCAAATATATTTTTATTGATCTCAGAGAGGAAGGGAGAGGGAGAGAGAGATAGAAACATCAATGATGAGAAAGAATCACTGAGCGGCTGCCTCCTGCATGCTCCAAACTAGGGATCGAGCCCACAACCCAGGCATGTGCGCTGACCGGGAATCAAGCTATGACCTCCTGGTTCACAGGTCGACGTTCAACTACCGAGCCACGCCGGCTGGACACTGTATGTTAGGTTTGGGCAGCAAAGGAAATGTTGAGGAGCAACTGGATATGTAAGTCTGGATGTGGGGGCTGGGAGCTGACACACATTTGGGAGTCATCAGAGCATGGAAGTGTTTATGCCACCAGATGGGGAGGTGACCAAGGGCGTGAGGGTGGATGGAACAGGCTCCTGAAGTCTTCGCCTGGGACGCTGGAATTTGGAGGACAGGATTCAGCGAAGCAAACCAAGAAGAAACCATCGGTGACTTGAAGATTCGAGAGCAAGTGCACTTCGTATCCCGGAGGCCAAGTGTAAGGAAAGCACTTGGAGAAAGAGTGATCATTGGTGTCAAACGCTGGCAGGAAAAGATAATGGCAGACGACTGACAATTGCTTTTGATAACATGAAGGCAGTTTTGTTGGGATGCTGGAGAAAAAGCCAATGTGAAAAGAATGAAGGAGAGAAAGTGAGACAAAAATAGACAACCCTTTTAAGGTGTTTCTCTCCAGAGGTGAGCAAAGAAAATGGGACATTAGTTGGCAGGGGACGGAGGGCTGTTCGTTATTGTTTTTCCTTCTTGTTTTTAAGATTGGAAATATAACAACATTACAGGCCAACAGAAAAGTCCAACAAAGGGAACATGAACAGCTGAGACAGAGGGAAGAGTTGCAGGAACAAAGCTTCTACCCATGAGAAGAGGGACATTGGCCTTAAACACACATCCGTCAGGAGGCTGAGAGTCTGCTGGGGCTGGCAGGTGATCTCTGGCTCACTCTGTGGTTGTTTTTAGTGAAATAAGACGCAGGTTAATCACCTTCATGATTGTGAAAGGAGGAGTGGTCCTAGCCTAGAGGGTTAAAGGCAGAGAAGAGCAAGTAGAATAGGGTCTCAGCAAGTGAAGGAGTAACTGATGTAGAAGCTGTGGGAAGGCCAGGACACTCCAGGGCCTGCTGAGCTTTGTCATGAAACGAAGGAATGAGCAGTCAGCACCGTTGTGAATTAACCCAGCTTCCTTCTCGCCACCCGGATGCAGAAGTGAGGTGGGCTGAGTTGGATTGAAACAGGGTTGAGGGAGGGAGACACAGGAGCTGAGAAAGAAGGAACCAGGTGGTTAGCATGGTGGACTGTGGAAGGAGTCAGGTAAAGAAGCAAAAGCCAACCTGAGGAGGTAGGTGCAAGGCTGGGAGGTTAGGTGGGACTATTTTGGAAGTCCTGGCTCAAGTCAGAGTACAGAAGGGAGTGAGCTAGAACCACAGGAGGTGGAGGTCGGAGGGCAGGATGCTGGAAATGGACCATTCATTTTGGGGGTAGGAGGCACAAGATTTTTCAGAGTCTAAGGTAACACCATGGAAATGGGTGGCTGAAGTAGCATAAACCATGTGAGGTGAGAAGGTCAAGGCCAAAGTATTGAACAGATTATTTCTGTCAATGATTTCTAATGTTTTTGCTCTACTAACTTAAAAAAAAAAAAAAAACCACCGTGTCTTTACTCACGCATATAAGTTGACCTCTAAAATGTTTCATCATAAGCTTACATGATTGCAAAGAATATATATCCTGGCACATTTTCTGTACTGACATTTAAAAATAGAACCAGTATATCACTCAAATATATTTGACGGAATAGAAATACCATACCATACATTTTAAGTATACCAACAAATTAAAATTTAACATTATTTTCCCCCCTGAAATTACATCTTTATTCCACTTCCCTGACAAAATAGTATCCCAATGATGTATTTTTATCCTTAGGTGTCATTGGATTACCCTATAATAATTCTTTGCCACAAAAATATGTATGTCTCTAAATTAAAAACTTTCTCCCAAATTGAGTATTACAATTATTAGTTCACAGTTGATTAAAACATTATAAAATTGATCATTTATGAAAAATAAGTAAAAATGTATTAAACATGATAAATACTTGGGAGTGCAGGTTATGATGATCTGAGAAAAGGAGGTATCCCAATATCAGTATTTCAAATGTTCTCTAAGGCGCCCCAGAACCGTCAAATTTGAGGCACCTAAGTGGGTTGTTGTCTAACCCAGGACGGTGTTCAAGAAGATAAGGAGGCAATGGGAGAAAAAACTGGTTCTTCTTCACCTTTTTAGAGGTGATGTGTCACCGTAAGATGGTGACAGGAGAGCTTTGCCCTTTGTTTTTTAGTGAACTGAGCATGACTGTGAAAAGGGACATTTCCCCTTGCCCATCATCCTCACTTGCACTTGACACTTTATTCTCTTCGGATTAAACATTAAGCTATTCTCAAACTAGTTTTACCAAACACACCTATAGAGACTGACCAGGAGCCTATGACTTCTCAGTAGAGAGACGCCATCAGCACATCAAATACCACTTTGATGTAATTTTCTTGTTTCAAGAATAATTTGATTCCTGCATTCTTCAGTTATTGATCATCCTGACGACCCCAACTAATTTCAGGATGGAACAAACTACGAGAGTTCCCACTTTCTCACTAAACTGCTGGAAATGCGTTCTGCCAGTGACTGTCTAGGCTGGAGCTCTCGGGCAGTTGGCTAGCCCTTTTTCCTAGAGGCCCTGTCCCCCCCTCACCCCCCCTTCCACACAAACACAATTCAGGTTTGGCTTCTCTCTACAGATAATTTTGCCTTTTCAGTAAATGCATTTTACAGAAACAAATTATACCACTTTGAAATAACAATGAAAATCTCCAAGGAAAACATTGAGCTGATCTTTACAGGGTCTAGACTAGAGCCAAAGGAGTACCATGATATTAAATTCTAATAAATTTCAGAGCCCAGTGGGAATACAAGATTATTACCCAGAGGTCGATTCTCACGCCTACTTGGCCTGTATGGTAATAATAAGATGCGGCTTGAATTCAGATCCGTATTATTATTTGCCCTTTATGGTCCACGCTTCCCCAGAAACAGGTACAAGATTATGAACAATGGTCTCTTACAGAGTTTCTCTGATCAAATACAAAGGTTACAGTCCCGGTGTGCATAGGAAATCTAGGCCAATTCTAATCAAGAAATAATTGAACAAGTTAAAGTATTTTCAAGACTTAGTGGGTAGGCCATAGAACCGTTATATTTTACAGACAATTCTTATTTGAACAGTATTGTTCCTCATCCCATCAGCTTCATTTAATCTACTCTTGGAAAGAGAAATCTAATTGATCTAAGATGAATTTGAATACCGTGAAGACTTAAATAGAAAGGAAATAATGTAGAGCCTTCTTTTTTTCCTTTTCTTACCTAGCCATGGAAGTTCCTTTATTTTTCACCGTGCGATTAGGAAAGGTCTAGATTGCCAGCTTCACTAAGTCATACCTTTAGTCAGAATTATCCCAAAGTAACTTAAATGGGTGAAGAGAATACCCAAGGCGACACTCATGCACCAGACATCCAAAGCCAAAGCTACTGTGAACGTTTTGTGCTCAAAACGGAATAACTTTCCAGTCACTATTTTGCTACCGTCTAGAATCACTTTTCTTAATCTGTGAGAATTTCCTTTTTAAAAAAGTTGATGAGGAATTAAAGTTTATAACCAAAAAGTCATAGATACTCTATAGATCACAGAGGAAAACTGACATTTGCGGATATCGGTCTCAGGAAGGCACAAATGTGCAATGTAAGTCCATCGTGGAGCCAGGGCGTTGCTATCTGCTACCATTTCACTTTCTTGGGAAGTACAAGTCCTTCTCTAGACACTGAAGTCATGGCCGCCCGCTGGAGGCCTGAGCCGTGTCCCTAACCTCACGCCTGCAGAGAAACCTGGCCATCTGGCCTACCACCTCGGCTTCTAGATGGGAAGCTAGTGAGCTGTATGAATACGGCTTCTAGATGGGAAGCTAGTGAGCTGTATGAATACGGCTTCTAGATGGGAAGCTAGTGAGCTGTAAGGGCTCTGGGCAAGTAAAGTAATTGGAACTTGCTGTTCAAAGCAAGTCTACAGCAAAACAGTGCTATTTGAACACGGTCACGAACAGGGAAGGAAAAGCCCACATATTTAAAAAACCAGAACCATCCATTGAAGCTCAAGCACTAGAATCTACTTGTTGTGACGCTGGACACACGTCTGACTAAATGCTTTTCCAACACACGATGAGCCCAAAGAGGAAGACAAGCTACGGGCAGACAGTTTTAGCAGCGAGGGAGAACGAAAATCATTCACGGCAGCCAGATGATGCTAAACACCAGCCTAGGGTAGAGTACAGGAAGTTGCTGTATATGAACTCGGTGCGGAGTCCAAGGATGAAGACTCCATGCGCCGCAAGGGATGGAAGGACATATGGAAGACAGGCCCGTTTCTACCCAATATGATAAAAACGTGAAAGCCTCCGTTAATGCTTATATGCACAGCTACCCAACAGACCAAAACACACGGCTACACCACAAATCTCATCCCTTCAGTGTTTATGACAGGCACGGGCGTGACACTGCCCGACTCTTAAGGAAACTGGACTTTTTAAAATAGCGGAGACTGCTAAGTCAATAACCTACTGGCAAGCGGGTCGTTGCGGAAGTTACCTGAAGACTCTAAGGGGGTTTTCAGGGCTGGAAGGCTGGGCCCGAAAGCAACTGTAGACAAGTCTGCCCGGAACTCTCGCTCAACCCCAAAGAATCGCACTGGAAGGGCTGCGGTGTTTCTCCTGAGATTAGAAGACAGGCGAGATTAGAGGCTCCTGAGGAGTCGGGTAATGCCAGTTACTCTAATACTGACACAGATAATGCCGGCGATGCCTCGGGGGGGGGGGGGGGGTTTACAGAAACCGTTATTAAGAGGCACATTCTGTCTGCACGTAGCGAGGTAAATGCCTTTAAATTAAGACATGTTAATATTTCTGTTTTAGGCTAATAAGCAAGGAACTGCAATGATTAACCTTTTGGTGCTAAAAGCACTTCCCAGACCAAGATGACAGTAGTGCTCAAAATTCTCTTCAAATCCTTTTGGTTACATCATGCAGAAAGATTAATTCTGCTGGTCATGGTTTTCACCCTCACCTAATATTAGTTACTAGTCACACCTTTCATAAAAGGAGGGTAGCCCCGCTGGAGGGGCTCAGTGACTGAGCATCAACCTATGAACCAGGAGGTCACGGTTCGGTTCCGGTAGGGGGTGTGCAGGAGACAGCTGATGGATGATTCTCTCTCATCAATGTTTCTATCTCTCCCTCTCCCTTCCTCTCTCTGAAATCAATAAAAACATAAAAAATATTTTTTTTAAACATAAAGGGAGGGTAGAGTTGGGGCTGAGTCTTCATAGGCAATACTACATAGCTGAAATTTAATGACTCCTTTGGTTTCATTATGTGTTTCGGTAATCTCCTATTCACAGAAAGGGATACCCATTTTCCATTTACCAAAGCGACATGCTTCTTTTTCCAAATAAATTGACATCAGAGTGAGTTGTTCTTAAGAAAACTGTTAATTAAACAACACTTTTAAATATAAAATTAGAAAGGTGTGTGGAAATGTCAAAACCCATCCAGATGGTTCTGCCCAAAGCTTAGAAAGTGCTGCTTTAAAGGCATGACCACACACGTGAATTACACGCTGTTACTCTATGAACTTATCCCATTAGCTTTGTGACTGGGACTCCTTCCTCTGACTGACGTTAAGGAACATGAATAATAACACTTTCAGGATAACCATATATTAAATCACTCATTTCACAGCTGACTCGGCGGCAGGGGCAGGACAGGGAGCCAGAGGGGCCGAGAGGTCCACAGCTCTGGAATTCCGGTCCAGAGCACAGCCCTCAGGTGGATGTGGGCTATGATACAGGAGCGTCGGTCCTTCTAACTGGCGTGTGGAGATTAGGAACACAGTGAAGGTAACTGCGAGAGAACTTATACTTGACTTAAAATAGAGTAGAACGACATCCGTCTCTAAGGACATGGTTCAGGAAGGGATGGAGAGCAGTCTAGCGCATTTATACCAACTGCTCCTCGGACAGGCGCGTCTCATTTCCATGGGGAAATGAGGACCGATCTCTCAGGGAAGCCACCTACCGGGTATATGAGAAGGGATGGGAGCTGCCGTTTTTTTTGGCTTGCTGTAGAGACTTTGAAATGTTAAGGTTTTGTACTCATTTTTCATGCCTGCATCCAGGCAACAGGATGAGTTACCAGTTCATTTGAAGTCATGACCAAAGACTCCAGCTGACCTCCAGTTCTGACTGGCACTCCTGGTCCATTCACTTTGCTGCTGTCAGCGAGTCATACGCACCTCTCCCCTCCTGGAGACTTCCGACAGGCCATCCCGCCCGGCCCTTCCCTGGGAAAGTGTAGCTATTCGAAGAGAATGATCTCATTTCCCTAATACCGAGTATAGCAGGCTGTCTGCCTTTACTCCCATTCACTGCAAGTGCCTCGAGGCTACAGGCTTTTGTCTTGTTTTGGTCACTGCTTTATCCCCAGTACTCAAAATGGTGCTTCGTAATAATACCTACGGAATAAATATTTGAATAAATGAGTCAAAGCACCGCATTCCCTTTTGACACATGAACTGGAACTGACCATGTGCCTGTTGAGACTAACCGGTCAGGAGTCCTAGCTCTCGCTTCTCGTCTGCCTGCTCAGATTTCGCTCCTACAATAACCCACCCCTCCCTACTACATGCATCTGTCCCCTTCTGATGCAATATTCCAGTCGGCATATGCGCATGCTGTCTTATCTCCTTACACGTTAAAACCTTTCCTTAGCTCAGCTATTCCATGTATCCCTCCACATACATGAAAACTCGAGTCCATTTGCTGACTCTACTTCAATCCCTTTCTCTCCAGTCCAGTCTTTTATCCCCTCAACTTGCATTCTGTTAAATTTAACAATCCGCCAGTCTCACGGTTAATTCACTATCCTCTTCTTACTGGACAGAACTTGAAATCACTCTTCTCGAAACTTCCTTCATTTTTGTTTTTTTAAAAAATATATAGTTTTATTGATTTCAGAGAGGAAGGGAGAGAATCATTGATTGGCTGCCTCAGGGATCGAGCCAACAACCTGAGCATGTGCCCTGACCGAGAATCGAACCTGTGACCTCCTGGTTCATAGGTTGATACTCAACCACTGAGCCACACTGGCTGGGCTCTTTTGTTTCTGATGTGCCACATTTTTCTGGCTTGCCTCCCTGAGAGATCTCAAAGTCTCCTTGGATGGCTCCTTCCTTCTTTATTTTTAAATATATTTTTATTGATTTCAAGAGGAAGGGAGAGGGAGAGATAGAAACATCAATGATGAGAAAGAATTATTGATTGGCTGCCTCCTGCACGCCCCACATTGGGGATTGAGCCTGCAACCCAGGCATGTGTCCTGACCAGGAATTGAACCGTGCACTCCTGGTTCACAGGTCAATGCTCAACCAGAGCCATGCTGGCTGGGCCCCTCCCCATTTTAAATGCTGTAGTACCACAAGTCCCCTTCACCCCCTTTCTGGGTCTACATGGTTGCTGCTCAAAATGTGGGTCCCTGTACCAGCAGCATCAGCTCACTGAGGGGTGGTGAGAAGTATAGCATCTCAGGCCCCATGCCAGACCTCCTGAATCAATCTGCAGTTAAAAAAACAGGTGACTCATAGGCATATTAAAATTTGAGCAGCACTACTCTACTTACAGGAGTGATTTCAGTCACATGACTAAACTCCTTTCACAGGCTAACTCAGAAATGCTTATCTTCTGTCCCTGCCCCCAAATCAGCCCCCAACTCCATGGGCCGAGTCCTCCTGATGGCTGTACCTTCGCAACACAGGCAGAGCCCTACCACTCAGCCCTCCCACCACCCTCGTCTAAGTCAGCAATATTTTTGGTGCAAGACTTGAGTCTCCAGAATCTCTCTTCACCAGGCTCCCTACAATAAATTTTCTGTGTTGTATCTAGAGTGATCTTTAAAGAACATGGACGCTTTCCCAATTTCCTACCCGGGCTTCCAAGAGCCAACATCTCCTAGCCCCTCCCACAGTCAGATGCTCGTTCTACTCCTCCCACCCCTAAATCTTTGTCTGCCTTACTTCCCACTTTCTTTCTGTGCTGGGCTTCCCTCTCAGCACTGACAGCTCCCTGACATGACAGACGTCTGGCTCTCCCGCCAGAATGTACGGTCCACGAGCAGGGACCTTTTCCTCTCTGACACCACCACTGCTCGGTGTCTAGCACACAAGCATCGAGCATTGAGGCTTCAGGTGTTGTTGGTGGAACTGTTGGGGGCAGGGACAATTCTTGGTATGTACCAGCACTTATGTCTGTCACATAAAAATCTAGATGTAGAGAACCCACCAGCAGTCTTCAATAGGTTCAAATTTCCAAAATATAACAACTAGTTCTACAACATTTCTGTACATTAGAAGCATCTGGGGACCTTTTTAAAATTCCAATACTTAAGCCACATTTTAAATGAATTAAATCACAATTGCTGGGGGTGGGACACAGTACCAGTATGTTTTGAAGCTCTCAAGGTAATTTCATTGTGAGTTAAGTTTGGGAACCACTGGTATATGGTATGCATTGGTAAGCATGACATAAGATCTAAAATCTAGCCCGGTCGGTGTGGCTCAGTGGTTGAGCGTGGACCTATGATCCAGGAGGTCATGGTTTGATTCCTGGTCAGGGCACATGCCCAGGTTGTGGACTCGATCCCCAGTGTGGGGCGTGTAGGAGGCAGCCAATCAGTGATTCTCTCATTGCTGTTTCTATCTCTTTCTCCCTCTCCTTTCCTCTCTCTGAAATAAATAAAAATCATATTTTTAAAAAAGATATGAAATATATAATACATTAAAAAAATGCCAGTCATAATGTTATGCAAACTTAAGACTTCTATTCCTTTTAGGTATAGAAAACAAAAAGAAATTCATGAAAATAAAACTGTTTCAAACGTTAGGTCAAGAGAGCACGTCTTTCACAATTTCCTACATTTGTTTTCCTGTCAAGAATAATCCAAACTTGGGCACTTCTATTTGGAAGTTTATTATTTACTGATATGCTTAATCAAATTTATGTATTAAAAAGTGTTGATTGACCTAGCCAGTTTGGCTCACTGGCTAAAGCATCGGCCTGCGGACTAAAGGGTCCTGGGTTCGATTCCGGTCAAGGACACATGTCCAGGTTGCAGGCTCAATCTCCAGTAAGGGGCATGCAGGAGGCAGCTGATCAATGAATGATTCTCTCACATCATTGATGTTTCTCTCTCTCTCCCTCTCTGAAATCAATAAAAATGTATTCCTTTTAAAAAGAAAGAAATAAAAAGTGTTGAATCCTGTGTAAGTCACATGTAAAAGCTTTTGGGGGCTTTGCACATACTCATATTTTTAATGGCATCAGGTAAATAGCTCTATCCTGGTAACAAGGATGTAATTATTAAGACAAAATGCTATATTCTTGAGAGAGAAAAGGATTTTAAAACTCAACCAGTTACAATAAAATAAAATCTTAATCATACTAATATTCCTTGTTCAGGAAGTAATATAATGAACTCTAGTCGCCAATCAATATCCTTAGGACAGAAGTTAATAAAATATTGTGCATTTACCTGTCTCTAAGCTTGCCTTTAAAGTGTCTTCAGAAAAAAGGAGGACCTATATATTACTTTCAACAATAAAGATTAAGAGAAAAAAAAGAAAAATAATAAAGTATCTTCCTACCTCAAAACGAAGGACAAAATTAATGAAAGAGAAAAACAAGTCATGTGATTATTAAAATCCTCACTACAGTGAAAATACTGAAGATTTCCAAAGAACCTTGGGGATATTTAAGCCAATCTCCTATTACGTGCACACGAATAACCTGACACCCAGCTGAGGTGGGAGGACGTGCCTGAAAGTCACACAGGAGAGCTAGAAGAGAAAAAAAACAATTTTTTTCCCAAACAAGCAGACAGAATTTTTCACATGTTAATCAAAAAAAAAATCAAGATCATCAGATTAGGAATGAGGAATAAAAAGTATGTTAAACATAAATATAAGGACTAGTCAATCTGCTGCTCCCTGCCACCCCCCAAAAAATTCTCTGAATATATGGACATACATCCCTTACCCTTAAAATATTAGGATTTTGGAAAATTCTGTTTACAAACACATTATTAATTGCATTGTTATAATTAGCTAATTAAATGTGAAGGCATCAACAGCACCAATACCAGAAAGTTAAGAAAGTAAACGCACTGTTACTTAAAATAATATATAATCACTGATTGGGACAGCAATGAACTATAGCCACTAGCAAAACTATTTAAGCTACTGTTTGACATGAAGGCAATATTTAAAGACTAGTATATGCCCTTTGCCCAGCGAGAGGCCTGGGCCTAGGCTTCCCAACGGTGGGTCAACGTAGAAAATATTAAATAGGATGGATTTTTTTTTTCATTGCTCAACCTTGAACCATACTACATAACCCCAATTTTGCCAATATAAGTCAGTGACAGCATTTTTGGCATTCTAACCACTCTTACCTGTCCCAATTAAAACAAAACAAAACACAGGTCCCTTATTAAGCATTAGATTGGATGTGTCTAAGCAGCAGCAGCAAGGCATTTATAAATGGGCCTCTAACAGTGTATCAAAATGCTACTAAGGAAAAGACAGCAGCAAACGCTCTCATAAGAGCACATTATTCCACATGGAATCCCAAGTTACCATCTCTAATTCCTTAAATCCTAGGAAGACTAGAGATGAACAAGTGTATGTGTAAACATGTGTAAACGGGGCCAGGGAGAAAGCTCTAAATGGTATATAGTGCTCACATTTAAATCACCCACGGTAACTGTAATGCTTGCAGAGAACTCCAACTATTATCTAACATTTTTTAAGCACGTAGAACTTAAAAAATGCCAGCAAAACTTTGGTGTTAGCCCAAAACATAGAATCACATTTTAAGTGAAAATGAAATAGGCATGGGTTGTGAAGTTTTCCTAATGGTCACCCCACCCTCTCCCTCATCCCTGCTCCTTTCATCGGGGATCTACAGACTACCTGGTTCAAAATATTTGGTAATTCAGTGCAGAAAAGTAAGGTCACAGACAAAGTACAACAACTTTTAATACATCATTAATACTAATGATTAAAAATTATTGCATAGTCTTATGCATTTACCCTAAAACATTTTCTGAAAGTAAATTCTGAAAGAATTATATAAAAGACAAATAACCCTTTAAAACGTGGATGGCCTTTACTACCTCGATCTTCTATCCTTTTTTGTCTTTTCAGTACTTTTGTCCATTGTTTTCTCATTATCTCCCCTGCACTTTGGGCAATACCATTTCCCCTTTGGTTTGTAGGTAAGTGAAACACATGAAAAGTGAAACCACTCAATTGGACACTGTTCATTATCACAGCCGATCATCTCCCCGTAAGACACTTGGTTACATAAACAGTATGTAGGTTCATTGGGATCTATTGCAAACTCCACAGGTGACGTTTCCCTTTCCTGCTTGGCCTTGGAGCGTTTCTTTTTCTTGGCGGACTTGGATTTCTTTTCTTTAGGTGGCTGATCATCACAGTCTTCAATGCCATTAGTCATGTGACATAAGTCACGGCTCTCACTGGTTCGCTGTCTTCTGGGTCTCCTTGAAGATCTTTCTGGTTGGCTGGCATCTACCTTTGCTTTATCTGAGACTCGTTCACTTTCAGCAGGATCCTGAAAACACTGTGAATGAAGCTCCATTTGCCTTGCCCGATTTTCCACCAATTCGAGCATTTGTGTGACAATCTGAATTTTTTCATCTCCCAATTCTTGGCTATTGATTAATGCTCTCTGGAGATGCTGCTGTAGGCGTTTTTTCTGGTTTGAATCATCTTCTTTCTTATATTTTTCATAGACATCATCAATTTCCTTTAATGTTTCTAAAAAAGAAAAGGAAAAATTAGGTTATTGTGTATTAGCACATACAGCATTTTTCAAGTTAGTTATCTTTCACAGAATTGGAAAAGTTAGAATGAACTCAAACCATAAGACCACACTCTTTTTTAGTATGTGTACATTAAAAATACATTATTTCCCATACAAAGACCATATGTTATCAAATATAAAAGTATATTTAGAAATAAACTAATAAAAAAGAGAACACAAAACTCTAATATTCATTAATCAATATTAAAAACAAAATGTGCCCTAGCCAGTCTGGTTCAGTGGATAGAGTGTCGGCCTGCGGACTGAAAGGTCCCAGGTTCGATTCCCGTCAAGGGCACATGCCCAGGTTGCAGGCTTGATCCCCAGTTGGGGGGGGGGGGGGGCGGTGCAGAAAGCAGCCAATCAGTGATTCTCTCTCATCATTGATGTTTCTATCTCTGTCTCCCTCTCCCTTCCTCTCTGAAATCAATAAAAATATATTTTTTAAAAAATGTGTGGCTACCTAATAATCAAAAGTGTTTTATGTGACCTGACCAGTTAGTGTTGGCCTGAGGGCCTAAGGATTGCAGGTTTGATTCCCGGTCAAGGGTACCTCAGCTGCAGGTTCCCCAGCACCAGTAGGGACAAATGTGGGAGGCAATCAATCCACATGTCTCTCTCACGTCAATGTTTTTCTCACACCAGTTCTCAATCTCCCTCTCTCTCTCCTCCCTTCCACACTCTCTAGGAATCAATGGAAAAAATATCCACAAACAAGAATTTTTTTAAAAAAGTATTTTGTGTGGTCAGGTTCACTGACCACTTTACAGGTATACCACTTTACAGTTTACCTACTGCCATACTGTCTACACTTCATTTGAATCTCAAAAAAATCCTGTATATAAAATTTACAGGCCAGACTCTAGCTGTAAAACAAATTCAAGGACTATGCTGAAGATTACTGCCCAATTGCATTTGCAGGATTTAGTTCAATCAATGACATGCATGACTCCAGAGAGACACTACACCTTTAATTTCCTATCATGCCCTTGGACTTCCTTAAAGCAGAAGTAGCTCTTAGCTTCCCATCATATTAGTTTTAATGGCTCGTTTATTTTGCCACAAGAGATAATTCTGAAACTTAAACTATTTCCAGAGTAGGTTTAGGTTCATGTTCTGGCATCAACTGACTAAGCTACTAACAGAATTACAGTAAAGTCAGCATTGGATCACTATATTTTTGTAGATAACTCAGCAGTTGGTTCTAAGTAAGCTTTTTTGAATTGCTGATTTAGTTATTGTATAGCACCTGGAACACATTCAATCAATTAAAAATAGCTGAGTCACACAAAAAATATAGCACCAGATATCACCAAAATTTGCATAAGATTAGTTTTTATTCAAATGTTTTTTAATCCTTATGAGATTTAACACTATTTGAAAGAGTTCTGTCGTAGTAAAGATGGAGAAACAAAAAATTAACTCTAATTTATCACACCACATACACATAGCAGATCACTGTTTAGATCCCAATATTATTATTCTAATGATAAGAACAGAAATATTAGATGAGTAAGATACACACAATGGGGCTGTCTGCAAGGAAGGTAATACAAAGCAAGAAGCTACTCCCTGAAATTGTAGGTACTCACACGTGCATAGCATTCTTTTAAACAAAGGTCTTATCTAGCCCATTTGCCCAGGTAGGTATGTAAGTAGATTTCTTAAGAACTTAATTTTCCTCCAGGAAAAATAAGGAAGTTATATATTTTCCTGTACACGCCACCTCCCCCCAAAACACACAAAATTTAAAGGTTAAAAATAAAGAGGAGATCTAACCGGTTTGGCTCAGCTGATAGAGCTACGGCCTGCGGACTGAAGGGTCCTGGGGTTCAATTCCGGTCAACGGCACATGACCGGTTGTGGACTTGACCCCCGGAAGGGGGTGTGCAAGAGGCAGCCGATCAATGATTCTCTCTCATCATTGATGTTTCTATCTCTCTCCCTCTCCCTTCCTATCTGAAATCAAGAAAAATATATTAAAAAATAAATAAAATAAAGGGGAACCTTATTTCAAATATTCTTTATCTAATAATCTAATAATCAGGGCTTAGAAAGCTAATTATAGCATACCAACATATACAGCTATACATGAGATAAAAATTCTCATTTTTAAGACACCTTAATTATGAAGTGAAAGAAACTAACACTGAGACACGTCTATGTGATAAAGACTTTCTCACTTAATCCCCACAGCACCCCATGAGGAAGCCATCACTTCCGCACGGAGAGAAAATGAAGCTCAAGAGACAACCCCAGACTTTTTCATTGATTTTTAGGGAGAGTGGAAAAGAGAGGGAAAGACAGAGAGAAACATCTATGTGAGAGAAATACATCGATTGGTTGCGTCTTGCATGAGCCATGACTGTGGCCCCGGGTCAGGGAGGAGCCTGCAACCAAGGTATGTGCCCTTGACCTGAATTGAACCAGGGACCCTTTGGTCCTCAGGCCAGTGCTCTACCACTGAGCCAAACCAGGTAGGGCAACAACCCCAGACTTTTAACTCTTCCAGATCTGTATGTCTGGCTTCACCAAGTAAGCATTTTCTCCTACGTTGAAAGGAAGACACTGAAATTAAGTATTAAATTTTAGCTCAAAGGTTATTTACCCAGGAAATTATGAACAAAAATACTGGAACAAAAATTGAGGTTCTCTAACAATCAAATCCCATAATAAATACTTCATTATCATAATACTTTCTTCATTTCTCTATTTTTAACTTTTTATGGTTACTTTTAAGGTTCCTGAGTAATTTCTAATAAAGTATCTTAAATAGTTAGGAAATTTCTTTGACTGCTTACATAATTTGTATCACTAAATATTGCAGTATTAGATCCAGAATCGCAAAATACTTGAAAACTAGCAAATAAATTTTAAAAAACACAAAAGTATTTAAGGTTAATATATGTAAAACAGAAAGCTTAACTCAGCACGCACATGCAGAGTGAAAACTAAATCATTTTATTTATTTAAAAAATATTTTTATTGATTTTGGAGAGGAAGGGGGAGAGAGAGAGAGAGAGAGAGAGAGAGAGAGAGAGAGAGAGAGAAACACAAATGATGAGAGAGAACCATTGATCGGCTGCCTCCTGCAAGCCCCCCCCCCCAGGACTGAACCTGCTACCCAGGCACGTGCCTTTGACCTGAACCAACCTGGGACACGTCAGTTCTCAGGCTGACACTCCATCCACCGAGCTAAACTGGCTAGGGCAAAACTAGGTCGTTTTTATATTAACCTTGGAACTAATCACAATCTTAACACAGCTGAAAATTTTTTATGATCTCTCAATCATTTAAGGCCTAATACTATTTCTCATGTTAACAGAGCTACTAATGACAATTCTAGATGGTCAAGATGAAAGATTTCCTTGTAACAAATTGTCCCTCCCCAATTAAAATGAAAAAAAAAAAAGCTTCACTTTTGTGAAGGCAAATATAGGTATGTGTTTTTACAGAGATGTGAAAACCTTTACTAACTTCAGTGTTATCGGAAAAACTAAAAATTCTGAATATACAATTCTTAAGCAGGTATGTATCATTTTTAGGTTACCATGTATGTACTGTGTGTGTATGTGCTTCAAGTCTGTAAAAAAAACAAACCTTTGGAGAGTTTTTCTTTGAAAAAAATAAAAATAAAAATAGTTCAAAAACAAGCCTGTCACCCAAAGTAGCCAGGCTGTGGGGTCAATCACTCCCCACCTAATTGAACAGGTTACTTAAACTCCCTGCACATTTTAATTTATCCATAAATTTTCACTTCATAAGGTTACTGTGAGGATTAAATGAGATAATGTTCTAGACTTGACACAGCATATGACACACTGCAAGTAATCAGCATTAATTCTCCTCCTCCTAACATGGACCAGTCCTATCAACTGTGGGTTCAGAAGACAGAAGTAAATTATAGATTCGAAAACAGAGACATTTAAGTATCTTAACATGCTAAGGGCCTGAAAATGCCGCCCCAGAAGTGGGTTCCTTAGAGACTAAATCATTAGATTTACGACGTGTCTAGAAAAACAGGGAACGGGCCCGCATAGCTGTTCTGTCCACGTTATGTCCCAGGTCTGCGCCCCGACCCGGGGCAGCTAAGAGCACAGCGGCCCCGGGAGACCCCTCCCTCCGCGGGCAGGCAAGGGCCCCTAACAGTGGGCGGCCAGCGACACTCTGTAGAAAGCGGACCCCGTCCCAGCGCCGTGGGCACTGACACCAAGGGCGCCTTTCGCCTCCTCACTTAAACTTGGCGGAGGAGGGAGGGGTTAAGGGACGCCAGGCGGTTGCCCGGTCAACCACCCACTTCCTCCTGAGACCCGGAAGTGAGATGAGAACCGGAACCTACGCAGGGCCAGGGTCGGGGACGCTCCCGGGAGCTGACCGTCCTCGTCACAACTGAATGGTTGGCAAAGAGCCGGAAAATGACAGCAGACCTGTCCCCCACACTAACAGTGACTCCGCTGCGGACGAACTGACGTCCCGCACGCCAGCCCAGCCGGCTCCGCCCCAGCCTCCCGGCGGCCAGCCATTTTCCCGGCGGGCGAGAGCGCGCGTCCGCGCCCCTCCCATGCCCACGTCACGCCCAGGCCACGCCCCCCGGCGCCGGGGGCCCTCCCCGCCACACACCCCTCTTCCTCCACCCGCGGGGACCCCTCCCCTTTTAACCATTCGGCTAGAGGAGCTGGGAAAAGGCTACAGCCCGGAACTCGCCCAGAGGCGGCAGGGGAGGACCGACGCCCCGATGGCCGAGCCCGGAGCGGAGAGCGGAGGGAGGGAGGGACCTCCCCCGAGTCCGCCTTCGCGGTCCCCTCTCGCCCCCTCCCCCCGCACGTTCCAATGCATATGCTCCTAGGGGGGTGGGGGCCTCAGGGGCTGGGGGAAGCCAGGCCCGGCGACCGCGGGAGCCCGGCCACTCACTCCCTGCAGCCCGCCGCCCGGCTGCACGCTGCCTCGCCGGGCAGGAGGCTTGCGGCACGGGGCAAGCCGGACCCAGAGCCAATGCTTGTTGCTTAAAATGGCTGATCCCCCTCCACGCCAGCTGCAGCCGCTGGGTTTGCAGCGTGGGCTGACGAGCAGCCCCCACCCCCACCCTGAAGACCCCGCCGAAGTCCTCGCCGATCGCGGGAGGGGAAGGGAGGGCCGCGAGCCCGGCCTCCCGCCCCTCTCCCCGGTCCCACACGTCAGACCCCCTCTCTGTGCAGTCGAGGAGACTGTCACCGGAGAAAGGGAAAGTGTCACTTCCCCGGGCTGGCCCCGAGCGCCCGGCCCGGCGGCCCGCGGGCGGGGAGGACCCGCATGGGCAGCCCCGCGGCCCCTACCTTGATATTTGTTGTCCAGCTCCCGCAGCACAGACACGTTCCTCTGCATGTCGTGGGGCAGCGACTCCACACACTCCAGGTAGTCCTGCACGTAGCAGGTGAGGAGCCGGCTGCGCTCCCCGGTCAGGATCGCCGCCGACGAGTAGAGTTGCTGCTGCTGCTGCTGCTGCCCTAACATCCTGCCGCTGCTGCTCGCCGCCGCCGCCGCCGCCGCCTCCGCATCCAGCAGCCACACATGCAACAGCCACGGCCGCCGCGGCCACCCTGCTCCGCAGCCCGCGCCGCGGGGACCCCGGCAGCCGCTCGAGAGGGCACCGCCGCGTCCCCCGATCTCCACTCCCCCCAAAAGCAGCCCTCACTCCCCGCCCCCGCGGTAACCAGCCCAGGGGCGGGGCGAGGGCGAGATCAGGGCTCCCTCCTTTTTGTCCTCCCTCCGCGGGACCCGAGCAGCGGGGATCCCCCCAGCGGAGCGGGCGCCGGGGTCTCCGGCGGTGACACTTCCGGCCCCCCTCGGCGTCCCCAGATGCTACCAACGCCGTCTCGCCGCTCGGATCCCCATGACAAGCCCTCCGCTGCCCCTTTTCTCCCAATCACCCGCGGCGCCTGTCGGAGCGTCTCTCACTGGCCTGTCCCCGCCCCTCCGCGGCGGCCGCCACTGCGCCTGCGCAGGCCTCCCTCCTAATAAGGCCGGGGGCCCGCCTCCACCGCCTACCGGAGGGTTCGCATTCTCCCGCCTTCCCGCCGCCGCCCGGGTGATTGGTCCGTCAGCTCTCGGCCCGCCCAAACGGCAGGCCGCGCCCCGCCCCCTCTTAAAGGAGAAGGACTGGCAGGCCCACCTTTCCGCCCCAGCTCGGAAAGGGACTGGCGAGCGAAGGTGGGGACCCCGGCGTGGCCTCCTTCCCGCGGGGCGGGGGAGACACGGCCTGGGTCCCTCGGCCCGCAGTTACCGACTTCTTCCCCATCGGCGGGTCTAGCGCGGCCCCGGGCGAGCCTTAAAAGGAGCAGCAGGCGGCCGCTTTGCGCTGCAACCTGGAGGCAGTGAAGCCGAGGGGACTACCGGGCCCGGCGTGCAGCGCGCGCGCGCTCCCGGCATGCGTCGCGGCGCTGCTCCCGCGGGGCCGCTGCCGCCGCCGCTGCCGGTCGCCAGGCCACCGGCTCGGCGCTGCTCCGAGCTCCGCGCCTCCCCCCGCCCCGGCTTTCGGGCCCTCGGGGCAGCGGGGGGCGGGTCGCGGAGGGAGGCGGCGCGCCCACGGGCCCCCTGCGCTCGCCTGCTCTCCCAGGCGGCCGCCTTTTGAATCTCCCTCCCGGCCTCCGCGCGCTTGCGTCCCCGGCGCCCATGTGTCTTGCAGGTCCGTGCACCCCGGCTCTTCGGGAGTCGCGTGAAGTGCGGCTGCCTGTGCCCTGGGAACGTGTTTGACCCGCAGACAACCTTCAGTGTTTGTTGTTTTTCCCGTTCAATGTTTACGCATTGAACGCGGGCGAGGGCTTCCAGGCGGCGCAAGGCGCGCACACCAACACCTTTCCATCTGCTTTTACCCTCAAACCGAAGCCCACAGGGCGGCCGGGGGAGGGCGGGGAGTGTAGACGGGCGCACACTCCTCCGGAGCCGGACCCGGCCAGCGGGTAGTTTCTGTGCGTGTCCATGGAAAGCCGGCCCGGGAGCCGGTTCCGTCCCAGATGGGCGCTGCGCGCGTACCAGCGAGTGCCCGTGAGATAAACGGGGGTCGGCAGGACGGATACACGGCGCTTCTAGGGGGTGTCTGTACCCAGGTCCCCCGAGAGCAGTGCCCTGGAGTGAAAAGAGAACCTTGAGCGGGAGATCAGTTGGGGTTTCGCAGCGGTGGTGCCACCTGTATGGTGACCTGTGGAGAGCGCTTTGCAAACAGCTGTTAATAGTGAGTAACCATGGACGTGCAAAGAGACATTTAGACCTTCCTCTAGAACAGTGGTTCTCAACCTTGGCTGCACATTAGAATCACCTGGAAATCTTTGTAAAATCCTGAATTCTGGGCCTCATCCTCCGGAAATTCTGTTTCTTTGTTCTGGGGTGGGGCCACAACATTAGTAACAATTTCCGGAGGATGAGGCCCAGAAATCAGGATTTTAAAAAGGTTCCCGGGTGATTCTAATGTGCAACCAAGGTTGAAAACCACTGATCTAGAGGAAGTTTTAAATGTCAACTCCCCAAAAAGCGCTCCAAGAAACTCGAAGTATTGGAAACAATATCTATCATCTGTCTACCAAGGAAGACAGCTAGATAGATTGCACAAGGACGTGGAGATGTGCCGCCCAGCTCGGCCAGGTTCGGTGACCTTGCCTGGGGGCGGTGAAGGATGGAGAAAAGGCAGATAAGAGAAGAAAGCTGGGTCCGGGTGGGACGCTGTCCTCTCTGATGGAGAGCTAGCGACAGCACCAGGGACTACAAGCCGTGTCCTTATTTTATAGCCAGATTCCAGGAGGGAAAGTAAGGGCGTGATCAAGATGTTTACAACATTCTCCGTGAGTTTCGATCCTACTCAGTTACATGCACCAGAACTCTGTCAAGCCCACACCACTCAGCCAGGTGGGGCCAGTGTTGGGACCATAGGTTCAAGCTCACAACCATAGCTGTTGGCTGTAATTGTGCTGGGAGGACCCTGCCCTCCAAGCTGGGACCTGCACTGGCCATGAGAGGACTGTGCCCTCTCCTCAGTCCAGGATTGAACCTGTCCAAACGCCAGCCGCTCTCCACAGAGATTGTCTTGCGTTATCCTGGGATCATGGAGGTTCTGACCACTTGAATATTAGGCAGCCCAGGCAGTCCAGTGCACTGTATTTCTGAGAGCCGTGGAGGGGTTTTATTGTCATTCTTTCCATCGTTCAGACTAAGCAGATGGGTCTTGTAAAAAAACAAAAACAACAGTCGCAGTTAAGAATAGAAATGTATTGCTTTTTATCTGAACCCTGCCGTTTCTGTTTACTCGCAGATTTGAATCGGGTCTTCATTGAAGGCCCCAAATAATGCAAGATGCCTTGTTTTCTATCGACTCAGGTAGACTCTGAAGGCACCGGTGGGTTTTCTTCAGCCTGGGAAGTGATCTGCAGGCAGAGAAGACAGGCGGCTAGAAGCCAGAAGTGAGGCAAGGCAGTGGTGCAGAATACGGAGGGAACTCCCTCAGGAGCCTAGAGCAAGGTGCGAGGAAGGAAGGATCAGTGTGGGGGAGGCCTTTCCTAGCGTTATCTTCACCTTTCATAATTCAGTTGAACAGGCAGAAAGGAAGTAAAAAAGGCAAATAATGATTTTTTTCAGCTTGTGTTGGTCTAACTCTAAACCCATAAAGAACACTCTAAGATGGTGATATGCGTGTGTATGTGAATTATTTCAGATGTGCTTTTCTTGCTATGTCAATTTATAAACGTTTACTAAAGGCGTGGCTTATTCCTACCGAACTTGTGAAGGCCTTCTGTGGAGAGATGTACCCACATGGGGAAAGAAATCACCATGCTCCCCAAACTCAACTTTTGACCTTATTTGCCATGTCCTTTTCTCCTCAGTAATTAGTTAACTGGAAATGTTAGGCTTTTTCAGATTGGGTTCCCTTATTCTGTTAAATGCAGAAGTTCCCAATTCTCGCCCTGGCCAGGTTGCTCAGTGGGTTAGAACGTTGTCTGCATAGGCCAAGGTTTCAGTCTGGCCAGGGCACATATAAGAAACAACCAATGAATGCGTCCGTAAGTGGAATAACAAATCAATCAATGAATGCAGAAATGAGTGGAATGACAAATCAATGTTTCTCCTCTTCCCCTCTCCTTAGCTCTCAAATAATGTAAATAAATAAAAGTTCCCATTTCTCTGCAACAAGAAGTAATTGGTGAAATTTAATCCTGTGAATAAAGCAAAAAAAAAGGTATCTGATTTGCTCTTCAGTATATTTTCTATCATAAAGTAACCCTAAAAAAAAATAGTAACTGAAATCTCCAAATTAGTAGAAGTGCCTGGGATTACCTTTAATTTCTAAATCAGCTACTTTGAGAAGTACCTGTTGGGAAATGTTTATGCTTCTCTCTAAACCTATGTCCTGCAGCCCTTGTTTATACTGAGAGGGCAAAGCAACAACTTCAAACTCTGATGGAAAACGAGTAGCAAAGAGTTCTGAAGAATTCCTCAAATTCAGCAGCTGCGTGAGTCCGGCCAATTAAGTTTGAAATCTTTTATTTTTTTCAACTTTTTAATTTTAAAAGCTTTTTATTATGGAAATTTCAACCACACAAAAGTAGAGGTAATAGTACAATAAATCCTAATATACTATTCACCTAGCTTGAACATTTATTGATATATGGCCAATATTGTTTCATCTAGGACACCCTTACCCTTGCTAGATGATTACCATTTTATCTATAAGTACTTTAATTCTGAAATGATAAGAGATAACTTTTAAAAACATCTGCAATATCATTGACCCGTAAAAACATATTACTGTCATTTAACATCAGGCAGTTTGAATTTCCCTGTTGTCTTGATACCTTTTTACACTTGGTTTGTTCAGTAGGATCCACACTTTGCATTTGATTAGTGAGGCTCTTTATAAACTAGTAAGAGGCAGTTGATTCCCTATTTAATTTAGGGAAGCAGATTGCAATGTTTCTCTAAGGAAGATATTTAGATGGTTGAAAAGCACTGTTAAAAATATAGGGATATTGCCCTAACCGGTTTGGCTCAGTGGATAGAGCGTCGGCCTGCGGACTCAAGGGTCTCAGGTTCGATTCCGGTCAAGGGCATGTACCTTAGTTGCAGGCACATCCCCAGTCGGGGGTGTGCAGGAGGCAGCTGATCGATGTTTCTCTCTCATCGATGTTTCTAACTCTCTATTCCTCTCCCTTCCTCTCTGTAAAAAATCAATAAAATATATTAAAAAATATATATAGGGATATTCAGGAGGAAAGAGATCAAAGAACTTATATGCATAACCCATGGACACAGACCATAGCAGGGTGAAGGCTTGGGGAGGGGACAGGAGTGGGGAGGAGGAGGAGGTCAATGGGAAAAAAGATGGGGCATCTGTAATACTTTAAACAATAAAGATAAATTTTAAAAATTATATATAGGGAAATTCAAGAAAATAACTTTAAACAAAATCTTCATATTAAAAGAAGGTCACCAACTGATAGCCCACTGTAGAAATGTAATTGTACCTAATGCAACTAAATAAATCTTTAAAAATCTAGGCGTTTATTAATTTAACGCATTATAGTATAATGTGTCATACAAGTCCAGTGAAGCATTTTAAATTGTACTGAAAAAAACCTAAAACTTTTAAGTCAATTCATTAGTACAGCAGGCAACTAAAAAAAACTGCATTTCCAGTGAGCTCAGTTTTAAAGCATTTTGTGTTATTGCATAAGTAGTACACACTAATTATAGGGGGGGAAAAACAGAAAATAGAGCTAAAATGAAGCTTTTAAAAACTGACTACAAACTGCAGATAACTCTTCTTAGTAAGTACACCCCCAAGATGCAATTTCATTTTAGTATTTTGCTTTAAGGAGACACTAGCTAGGACTAAAGGACATAGTTAAAAAACACCAAGTTCTCCAAATAGAATATTACAAATCGAGCAATGTCAGCCTGTACATTCAATTTATGAGGTAGACAGCACAGAGTTAAAATTGGTTTCTACAATCAATCCTATGGGTTATAGTACTGTTCAGCATTTAGAATGACTGCTAACAGCAAAAAATGATCCTAAAACATTTTAATGAAGGAACTGAATTCAGACTGGGACTGTAGTCAAGAGAACACAGTATAATATCCCATAACCAAGAAGAAAAACACATATTATCTACTTATCCCAGAGAGAAAAAAATAAACATATGGTATACTTTGCATATTGCTGACCAGAAAAACATTCAAACATTTTCCTAGATGGTTACCATAGTTACTTGAACTGTTTATAACATCAAGATGGGGAACTAGGTCACGATATTGAAGGAGTTTAAATTATGCAATTATGTTTCCTAAACAGGGGAAAGGGTTTAAAATTTAGGGAAGAAAGATATG